TGATGGGATTGGTTCCCAACTTTCACAAGCACTGGCTGGGGAATTAGCACCAGGGTTTAATTTAGATTGAAAAGTTTGATAAACAATGTTCCGCACAAGTTTTGCCTAATCAAGTTTAATTTTCATTCGCAATTCCTAAAATTTCAGTTGCAATTCAAAATGTTTCAACTGTAGACTTTAGATTGATCTTGCCAACGACGTTAGTTCCTTAAAGTTATAGGGACAGCGTCAGGGGAAATGTGTATATAGATTTGGCACATACTGGATCACAAATGGGGTCTCTTAGACGCGCAAACTGTGATACTATACCACCTAAATTGCACCCTGAACACCACGAGTTGGCAATCTTATATAATTTGGAATCAAATTATAGCATCTACGCCAGCTGGGCAGACGACAATCCTATTTGTTACTGCCAGAGAAAGACAGAGGTGAAGAGTTCCATCAAGGAAGTTAACCGATATGACATTTACTGAATTTTACAGGTATCCAGTTTATTACAGTAGTGTATTGAACAATAGTCAATAAAAGTAGGCCAGGTAACAGACTGACTTGATTCAGACTAGGAGTGGGTGAAGGTGGTCAACACATGCTGAGTTCATTTCTATCTCTTCTTGAATAAAAATAACACAGTCAATATCATTATGTGGCCTCTATAAAAAGGGAAGAGATGATATTTCCATGTCAATCTAATCAAACAAGATTTATACCAAAGTCGTGTACTGTTGACGTTCATTCCAACTAATCACAGCGTGTCATACAGAATCTGTGTTTAATTATGGACTTAAAACTGTTAACACGTTTCAGATATAAATCTCTTATCAGGACGGTCGTAAAGAGGAATTTTTATAAGCCTTCCATATCAAAAGGACTATTTTTTATAATCCGAAGAAAGCTTCAAAGCCTATGGGCACTATAGAAAATGGCTAGATATTTGATTATTTGGTTTTCTATTCTGAGAAATTTTTGGTGCATATTTGCATGATTTCTAAACATAAGAAAAAGTTACGTCAATACTGCGGCAGATCTTCAGAGGTGTTACAGTTTACATCATCAATCAATCTCAGCAGACGCTCTCAAGGGGAGGTCAGTCAGTACTGGGAACAGCATTCTATGATAACGAATATGCAAAGAACATTTCAAAATAGAGAAGTGATCAATCAGAATATGACTTAGTCCAAAACACTTGTCTCAATTCCAGCCTCTGTTAGATATCTTGAGAGTTATCAGCTGGTGTAGAGTCAGAAAATGAAGGCCATGTTTTATGGGAATTTTCCACACCTCTGCATAAAATTAAATTACTTTACACTGACTGTAAGTTAGTGTTGAGCATTACCGTAACTTTTGTTTTGTTAGTATCACGTGACTCTGCGACCCTTGAACTTTTTGCCGTGCTTTTATGATGCAAAATAATGACCATGGAAAAAACCTGATGCCCCGTTTCGATTGGATGTTTCAACTTGGCATCTCTAAGTCATCTCATACTTTTTACCCCAGCAAGACATTACAGGCTAATAATGTTTATTTGATATTTGAGTTTGTCTACTCCCCATCCCTTCAGAGAGTCCACATAGCTAATAAGGTTTATTTGGTATTGGGGTTTGTCAACTTGACATCTGTTCTGGAGAGTCCACATAGCTAATAATGTTTAAAGGATTATTTTTTATAACCAAAAGGAAACATTTGGCTTAGGTTATAAAACAATGTTTCCAATAATATTCATCAAAGAAATAGCTGGAGGAACATATAAACAAACTCACAAATTCCAAAACATACCAACATCTTATAAAACAAAACATACCAGCATCTTATAAAACAAAACATACAATATGTTCCAAAGATATATAGTATTCACACACAATGATGACAAAACTTGAGGGTTTTTGCAAAAAATAGATATTGAATAAAAAAACATACAAAAGTCAAAAAGTTAAAGGGATTGTAAAACAGTTTTACTTAAATTATCATGTCCATCAGAGACACTGATAATATCAATTTCCACCATTCCAATATTCAATCAGATGTCTGTGGTTCCTTCAATTCCACTAGATTTAAGTGTTTGATGATGAGACTAATCGTAAAATCTGCTTTATCACATAAGGTCCATTGCAATTAGTGATGTCATCAAACACTTAGTTTAAGCGGAATTGCAGGAACCACAGAACCACGGAATGGAGCAAATTGGTGCTATCAGTGTCCCTGCTACTCATAAAAAATTTAGAAAAACCTCTTGATAATCCCTTTAGTAAATGCTGAATTTATTCCAATATTGAGCTAGTAACAGAATTCAATTTAAAGCACATTAAAGGGAGGCAACTCCATTTTTGATGGAAGGTAGGCCTACAGAACTGTAGAAAATAGAAAATGATTTTAAGTTTAATATAAAATATTTGAAACAAATAAACACTGAAGTGTTCAACATAAATAACAAATAAATAATGAATAAATAAATAATGAATAATAAACAGTAACAAAATAACAAAATCTGCAAATATTTCCAAGACAGCTTGTGAGCTGAAGGCAATAAAAAGTAGCTAATACAATCAAGTTTGTAAATGCTTGAAAATATTTGCAAATAAACCTAGAAACTAAGGGAAGTAACTCAAAGGCAAATCCTGGGTCTGGTATGTCTGGGTCATAAATTTTGCAGAAATATTAATGCGCATGTTAATTGTCTGCATATCACGCAGCTTGAAACTCTGAGTAACAACATGTTTCAAGATCTGTTTTAATATTTCTAAATATCATAGTAAATATTATTATTTTACATTGAAAAACACTGTACTGAATGGAAATGTCTGGGAAACGTTGAATCATCGTGGAGATCT